AAAAATTATTATTTTGAGGTTATCTCCTTAATTATTGATTAAATCAAAAAAAGTTGTTGACAAAGTTTGTTTAGAATTGTTTCAGGAACAATTTTTGGTAACACAATTTTTTTCTTACTTGAAATTTTAATTTCCCACTGAACAGTATGGTATTCTTTTAATCAAGATTTTCTGAGAACGAGTGGAGGGGGGAAATCGTTTTGTTACAAAAGTTCCGTGCCCTGATGATTACAAAATTGATTATGTCATCACCTAGGTCTAAAAAAAATTATTTTTTCTACCATTTTTGGAATTTTCAAGTTGATGAGACTTTCTGATCAATTCAATTTTAACTACAACATATTCCTTATCGTCATCAAAATCAAATACAGAAAGAAAATTTATTATGACATCACATATTTCTTTGAAACATTGATTTTTCTGGCATTTTTATAAATTTTAAGTGAGAAAGAGTTTCTGATCAATTCAATTTCAACAACAACCTAGTTCTTATCATCATCAAAAACAAATATGGAAGGAAAATGTATTATGTCATCATTTATTTCTTAGATAAATTGATTTTTCTGCCATTCTTGTAATTTTGAGGTTGATGTGAGTTTCTCTCGCTACAATGACGCTATATCCAAAATTTAGTCTTAGCCTTCTTTATCTTTTGACTCCAACACTGCCGATCAAGAGCTCCTGTTGTGCGTCTTCGTGGCCTCCCACTTGGTCTCTTGCCTTGATTTCCGATTTCACATGACCAACTCATTACAGTTTTTGCAGCCTGACAAATTCTGAGATAGTCGTATCGCTTTTTCCATATGCCATTCTCCTTTATTGTACCAAAGATTTTCCTCAGTATCTTTCCTATTCTTTACCTTTTCGATCATAATTCATGTCTCGCATCTATAACACAGTATAGGTCGATTGATGATTTTATAGAATCTAATGTTTGAGTGTCTATGTACGGTTTTGGAGCGAAAAAAAATTACTAGGGAAAAGCATTTTTTATTTATTTATTTCAAGAGCGATGTGGCTTCTCTTTCTTTAATATCGAAACCAGCGTGTTAATTAATTATAGTAAATTTCAATAATTCTTTCTTTGCAACGGAAATCCCAAAGACAAAATAACCCAAAATCTTCAAATGCAAATTAAACGTTAAAGTGTACTCACAGCTTTAATCTATCTAAATAGGGTGTAGAGTATCCCGTCGTCTTGATTACCACCAGATTGATTAAACGTGGAAAGTACTAGCGTTTCCCATTTAATCCAACGTTTCTTGTAGATTACGTTTCTGCATTAAGCATCTAATAACGCAAACTCTGACTTTAGTAGTGTTTTTATAATAGCTTGAACCTGAGTTATTTTGACGAACGAATCATTACCTAGTGTAGCATCCAGTTCAGGTAATATAATCCTGGTAGAGCTTACACTTAGGCATTGTAAAGTCAAAACGTTTAAGACGGGTTTTAGAAATGATCAATATTTTTGTTTCCCACTGAACGGTATGGTGGATTTCAATACAACTTAATTAATTCAAAACGTGTTAATTTCTAAGAACTACATTTAATTCTCCTTGAACTTATCTCTACAATAATTAACTAAAATCATCAACAGCTGTCGTAATCGCATATTTTAACTGCATGTTGTGCTGGTAATCCTGACATTCAGTTCCCATTTCTCCTTCGCGTACGCTTTAGTTGCGGCGAGGGCAGGGTGATGTCGCAGGACAGCAAGGACTGCACGGACAAGGACGAGTGCCTCGATCTGCCGTGTCTAAACGGTGGCACGTGCATCAACCAGGAACCGAGGTTGCGATATCGGTGTATCTGTCCGGACGGCTTCTCCGGGGACAATTGCGAAGCCGAACAGCAAAGCAGGACGCTCAAACTCAGTATGGGTGCATTGGCAGCCATCCTGGTCTGTCTACTCATTATCCTAAGTGAGGATCATTACGGATAACTTTATTAACTCCACACAAATCTTAATCCTATTATTTTATGTACGCATGATGTAGAGTATAGTAACTAAGTTAGATGCGATTAATTAGATGCACGAATTAGTTTTTAATTTTCCATTCATTTTGATCGACGAAACGATCGATAATTTTTGTAAAAAATTGTCGATTAGCCTTAATATTCTCAGTGCCCGAGCAGCGCAGAGCGTGATTATAATCAACAAGTCATCATCAGGGGGGTGAGTAATAATTGTTTGCACGATTCTGTAGATGTCCCCAAGGTTCGAAATTAGTGGACGGAACCTGCGTCAATGACAACGAGTGCATGTGGATACCTTGTATAAACGGAGGTTTATGCAAAGATTACGAACCACCCATAAGGTACCTGTGTATGTGTCCAAATGGATATACAGGAACGCATTGTGAATTGGAACTTCCCGCATCAAGAGCTATCGTGGCATCCAACGATTTTATTATTGCCGTTGTTGCTTGTTTAACATCACTTCTTGGTAAGTTTTTAATACACATTTTATTTTTCTTTTTTGCGATAAGGTTAAAATAAGATAAGGTTATGAAAAGATATCGTATTATAAACATTCACCTAATACAATGGTATCGTTTTCTGGAAAATGATCAAACATTAAATTTCAGGACTTCCACTCCGTATAGAATTACAAAAGCATCAGCACGTCCATCCCTCCTTTCACGGCCTAATTGAAATTCTAACAATGAAAGTCTCGCGAGATCGTCCTTGCCTGTTATTAATTTCCAGTCGAGCTATGGCCTTACATTATACCATCATAGTTCGTACATTTCAATCACAACGATGACTTTAGAGAGCTTATTGAACCTGGATTCTTTGGCAAACCGCGTTCAACGCCCGGTAGTAAGCACACCCAGTTACCATAATTTCCCCGTTCGCAAAAGCTGTTTTAATTAGTTTAGTATCGCTCGTCGGCTAATTGTGGATGGACAAGAGAGGCTTTCTAGCTTTTCCATTGTGTACATCAGCTCGGTAAATCCGGGATTTGTTCAAGCTCGTTATTCACAATGCAAAGTCGATGTATAGGACAACCAGAAAGAGGATACACGTTCGATGAGATCAAGTTTAACGAAAGTCAGCCTCGAAGATTGATTAAAGTAAACGATGGGGGATTGTCGGGAGACGTGGATTGGATGGGTGGTCATATTTCGGAATTCGTGAAGCGGCGCTCTAATTGAACATAAATCGTCGCTTTTAAATGCAAATAATTTTCCAATTTGAATATTCATGAGCCCCACGAAAGATTATTCCTTGCATGAACGGTGGGATTGGCAAATCCCAACCCTCCATTCTGGTTTCCAACTCGCGAATTTTAATGCAACTCGCCCAATCCAATTATAACTCATCATATATTTATCACACCAGTTGATCTTGGAAATAAATAAAATTTTATTTTATTAAAACCTTATCTTAAATTACCAACACCTCGACATCAATTACAAAACATAAACACTTCTTAATAGTTTATTTTGCAAAATACACTTAACTCTCTACATTCTACAGCAATCAACGTGCCGGTCCAAAAGCATCATCATTATCTGAAATTAGGTAAAACCACAAACACTGCTTGATCCACCTCGAGCAAAATAATCGTTTGTTTAGTTAAGGGATAGTTTCTCGGTGCACAACAAAGAAAACTTGAAAGAGAACGTTAGGTTCTCGCTACTGTCGCACAGCTATGGCATGCAAATTTGCTAATTTTACATAAAATCTCCATACGGAGGGGTAACCTGGTACTAATACTAAATCTATGCGTCCCTTTTCTAGTCCTCGTTTTGGTCTTTGTCGTGTATAACCGGCGGAGGGAAGCCCACATTAAGTATCCAGGACCGGACGATGACGTCAGGGAGAATATCATTAACTATGATGATGAGGGAGGTGGTGAAGATGATATGACTGCGTTTGACATCACTCCGCTACAAATTCCAATAGGGGGACCTTTACCAGAATTAGCACCACCTAAAATTGGATGTAAGTAAAAATTTACTTAATTTTTTAATAACTCATTTAGATTACATATAAAATTGTTTATATGGATAGTATTTGTATATTTCCATATTGTAGACATTTTCTAATTTAATATCGAAATCGGTCAAGATATAAATAATAATACTTCTATAAGATGAACTTTAACTTATTTTACTCCATATCTAACTAATTTTTTATGTGTTAGTAAAGACTAGTAAAAGAAGTAATTTTAATATTTCTTAGACGTCCATGGATATCGTTGGAGATTTTAAAAACCATTAGTAAATCTGACGAAATCTAGTAAATCGGGTCTTTCCTCGGCAGTATATAATCGTCTGCCAGAAGAATTTGGCCTTCCACTAGAAGTATCTAGTCTTTTGTCAGCAGTATTTAGTGTTGTGCAAGTAGTATTCAGTCTTTGAAAGAACTGTCGTTAATCAGGAGGATACAGTATTCCATCAGCAGCAAATAATGTTCTGTTAGCAATATCTACTATTTTGCAAGCAGAATATAATCTTCTGTAAACAGTATCTAACTTCTGGAAGCAATATTTAATCTGCTGAAACAGTATCTAATCTTCTGCCAAAAGTATCTACTCTTCTGTTGACAGTATTTAGATCTAATATTCTGCGAAGATTTCTACAGGGTGAGTTATTAGTATCCCGGCGGTCGATAGTTACTAAATCGTTTGAAAAACTTTTCACTTTCTATTACGTAAAATTATTTTCACTTATACAGGGTGTCCCACAACGATTGTACAATACTGCATCAGCGTATTCTCTGATCGAAAACAGATAAGAAAAGTCTAATAAACATAGGTCCGAAAATGGACCAATTTCGAGATATTCAAAGTTTTAGTTTCATAAGCTGACCTATTGTAAACATCATTAACTCTAACGATTTAGATGCAGTAATTATATGATTACCATGGTTACGATGGTTAAGATAAAGTTTAATAAATAATAAGATAATATTAAGTTAATTAATACAGTTCATTAATAATTTAACAAAACAAGTAACAAAGATTGTCGAAGAAAATCGTTCAACCAGCATAAAAACAACGAATATTTAACAAATTGGAAAAGATTCATGTCATAATAAATGTTCAATATGCGCATCATTTACTTCTAAACACAAACGGAAAGATACCAGGAATTTGTTTTACTGTGTCAAATGCGTTACTAATTTTATTCTTCAAATCCTGCACATTTTGAACGTCTTCAGAATAAACAATTTGTTTTAAATGTCCCCAAAACCAAAAATCTAACGGATTTAAATCTGGTGAACGAGGTGGCCCTCCTCGGCCAATCCACTTATTGCCAAATCTGTTATTTAAGTATGCTCGAGTAGCGCGTGCATAAAGTGCTGGTGCTCCATCGTGCATAAAGTAGCAATCTTCTAGAATTTGTTGATGTAATTCATCAAATGCCTCTGTAAGGTCATTTTGTAAAAAATGTATGTAGGCATCGGCTGTCAATCTCGTTGGAAGAAAAAATGGACCTAATAACTGATCACCTATAACTCCAGCCCATACATTAACACTGAATCGCCACTGATGATGAGTTTCTAGTATTGCATGGGGATTTTCATCACTCCAAATGTGCGCATTATGAATATTAAAAATTCCGCTTTGAGTAAATGTTGCTTCATCCGTAAATACAATGTTTATGGGAAAGTCGACGTTTACTACCTCTTCCTGTATGGCCCACCTACAAAAAATCTCTCTTTTTTCGCCATCATTTTCTCTTAGAGCTTGAACGATGTTGTAAGGGCCGATTTACATCAGACGAGCGAATGCTCATTCTATCCCCACTCTATCATATTCTTTTAGTGTAAACAGATGTAGAGCATTCTTTCGCTGTTCTGTCTGTGTTCTCAAAGATTCTAGGGAATATTCTAAGAATGTTCGATCGCTTGATGTAAACGACACTAGAGCGTGCGAACAATTGCTTAGAGCCTTCTTGCGTGTTCGGACGTGCTCGCTCATCGGAGCGGTCTCTTCAAAGCGTTCTTGTGTTCTAGCCGAATGAGCATTCGTTCGGCTGATCTAAACATCTATGTGCAAGAATTCTAATTCTTGATTCTCATTTTTGCTCGTTGATATTTTGGTGTAAACGCTAAAAACGCGCTTTCGTTTACACTAAAAGATCAAGAAAGAATGCTCTTGTTCTAGCTCTAGCTCTTTGTTCGTTTGGTTTAAATGCACCTTTAGAG